TAGAAAAGAAAACAAAACTATGACCCAGCCAAATTTGGCCTTCACTATGTACTTCAATAGACTTGTTGATAGTTTATTGCTGGGGAAGAGTTAGATGTTTGCTGAAGGTTTGGGGAGTTATTCCTATTTCAGATTACGGAAGTGCCTTCCTATTCCTGATTTGCAAGTTTTTTGTTGTTGTTGTTGTTGTTTTGAGACAGAGTCTCACACACTTTATTACCCAGGCTAGAATTCAGTGGTGGCCTGATCTCAGCTCAATGCAACTTCCACCTCCTGGGTTCAAGCAATTCTTCTGCCTCAGCCTCCCAATTAGCTGAGATTACAAGCATGTACCACCACACCCATCTCATTTTTGTATTTTTAGTAGAAACAGGGTTTCACCATGTTGGCCAAGCTGGTCTTGAACTCCTGATCTCAAGTGATTCACGCACCTTGGCCTCCCAAAGTGCTGGGATTATCTCGCCTATCCTGCCAAGAGGATTTTTTTGTTTTGTTTCATTTTTTTTGAGACAGAGTCTTGCTGTGTCGCCCAGGCTGAAGTGCAGTGGCGCGATCTCAGCTCACTCAACCTCTGCCTTCTGGGTTCAAGCGATTCTCCTGCCTCAGCCTCCCGAGTAGCTGGGATTACAGGCGCCACCTGGCTAATTTTTTTATTTTTAGTAGAGACGGAGTTTTGCAACATTGGCCAGGCTAGTCTCAAACTCCTGACCTCAAGTGATCCACCCACCTCAGCCTCCCAAAGTGCTGAGATCACAGGCGTGAGCCACCATGCCCTGCCTGCTAAGAGTTTTTGTTTGTTGTGAGTGGATATTGTAAATTACATTCATGATTTTCAAACATTTACTTTTGCTTTTTAGAATAAACCCTACCTAATTGTAATGTGTTATATATCACTGAGTTTGATTTGCTAATGTTTTATTTAAAGTTTATATCTGTCTTTATGTGAGATTCCTCAGTAATTTTCCTTCCTTGAAATCATTACTTCTACAGAGGTTCTAATCTAATATCAATTAGGGTATGTTTGAGTTTGCTAGAATTGTGTGTAAACAGCCAGGCGCAGTGGCACACACCTGTAATCCCAATGCTTTGGGAGGCCGAGGCGGATGAATCACAAGGTCAGGAGTTCGAGGCCAGCCTGACCAACATGGTGAAACCCCATCTGTACTAAAAAGACAAAATCAGCCTGGCGTGGTAGCGTGCGCCTGTAATCCCAGCTACTCAGGAGGCTGAGGCAGGAGAATTGGTTGAACCCGGGAGGCAGAGGTTGCAGTGAGCTGAGATTGCACCAATGCACTCCAGCCTGGGCAACAAGAGTCAAATTCTGTCTCAAAAAAAAAAACAAAAAACAAAACTCTGTGTAAAGAACCCTAGTTCCTTTAGTGCGTAAATATTACAACATCTCTTTTGACTTTTGAAACATAGGTTCATTTTACATTGTTTTTAAATTTTTATTTATGTATTTTTGAGACTGTCCCGCTGTGTCATCCAGGCTGGATTGCAGTGGTGTGATCATGGCTCACTGCGGCCTCAACCTCCCAGGCTCAATTGATCTTCCGTCCAATCCTCCTATCCCAGTCTCCTCAGTAGCTGGTACTACAGGCAAGCACCGCTACGCCAGGCTTGTTTTTTTGTATTTTTTTGTAGAGACAGGATTTTGTCACGTTGCCCAGGCTGGTCTCAAATTCCTGGGCTAAAATGATCTGCCCGCTTCAACCTCGCAAAATGCTGAGAGTACAGGCATGAGCCACTGCACCCAGCCTTTGGTGTTTTAAAACCTTTTATTTTGGAATACATTTAATAGAAGTTTCAAAGATGGTTTAGATAATTTCTTTCCTTTTTTTTTTTTTTTTTTTTTTTTTTTTGCTGTTTTTTTTTTTTTTTTTTTTTTGAGATGGACCTTCGCTCTTGTTGCCCAGGCTGGAATGCAATGGTGTGATCTTGGCTCACTACAACCTCCATCTCCCGGGGTCAAGCGATTCTCTTGCCTCAGTCTCCTGAGTAGCTGGGGTTACAGGCATGCACTGCCACGCCCGGCTAATTTTGTATTTTTAATAGAGATGGGGTTTCTCCATGTTGGTCAGGCTGGTCTAAACTCCCGACCTCAGGTGATCCGCCCGCCTCGCCTGCACCTCCACCTCCCAAAGTGCTGGGATTACAGACGTGAGCCACTGCGCCTGGCCAATTTAGAGAATTTCTATGTAACTTTTACTCAGCCTCCACTAATGTTGCCACCAAATATAGCCAGTGTATGTTTGTCATAACTATGAAATTTAACATTTGTATGATAGTATTATTACTATTACCTGAACTACAAACTTTATTTTGTATTTCACCAGTAATTCCATTAACGCCTTTTTCGTATTTGAGAGTCCAATCCAAGACTTCAGATTTGATTTGTCTCCTTAGTATACTGTGTTCTTTCACAGTTTCTTAATCTTTCCTTGTTTTTCATAACCTTGGCAGTTGTACAAAGTACTGTATACAGGTATTTTATACAATGTCCCTCAGGTTGGCTTTGTCTGATGTTTTCTTGTGATTAAACTGGGATTATGAGTTTCAGGGAAAAGATCACAGTGCTGAAGTGCTATTTTCATCATACCGTATTAAAGCGTACATGCCATTAATAAGACATATCACTATGAATGTTAAGTATGATCACTTGGCTGAGGTAGTCTCCATTGTCAGTTTGTTTTCCCCCCCTTTTATGTCTGTGTTTTTGAAGTAAGTTACCAAGGTGAGCCCGTACTCAAGGAAAATTCATTTTTACCTTAGGAGAAGGGAGTATATGCTTATATTATTTGGAATTCTTCTATAAGGAACATGTGTCCCTTCTTTCCATTTATTTATCTATTCAATCATCTGTTTTTATCAGTATGGATTTTGGAATGTTTATTTTATTTAGGAGTTATAACCCAATGCCAATGTTACTTATTTTTGCTAACATTGTTCCAACTTTGGCCATTGGGAATTCTTTCAAGTTGGCTTCCATAACCTTTTGATACTCCCCCATCTTTAAAAATAATGTCTGTCTTGCATTCAGACCCTGTAAGTTACACCAGGTTCATGTTGGCATTTTTTTCTGCCTCTGGCCTAGAATCAGTCATTTCTTCTAGGAGCCCTGGCTCCTTTTATTAGAGAGAATGGTATATAGAAACCAAGATCTAGTTGTAAGTGTGTTTGTTGCTACTGGGGTGTCTCTGCTTCTAGACCCTCTAAGAAAGCAGCCCTAACTCTCTATACTAACCCATGTTACAACATACCTGTCCATCTGTATATATATTAAATAAATGTGAGTTCATGCTGGTATGTCTGACTGTAACCTAGTACCACAGGGTTCATTCTGTCTTTCCTCTCTTGTTTATTTGTAACTTCTTTATCTGAAAAGGAGAAACCTTGTTTCTATTATCTACTATTTATTATGTTTTCTTTTTTTTGGCGGGGGGGAACAGAGTCTCGCTCTGTCACCCAGGCTGGAGTGCAGTGACGCATGGTCTCTACTCACTGCAAGCTCCGCCTCCCGGGTTCACGCCATTCTTCTCCCTCAGCTTCCCAAGTAGCTGGGACTACAGGCGCCCGCCACCACGCCCAGCTAATGTTTTGTATTTTTTTTTAGTAGAGACTGGGTTTCACCATGTTAGCCAGGATGGTTTCGATCTTCTGACCTCGTGATCTGCCTGCCTCGGCCTCCCAAAGTGCTGGGATTGCAGGCATGAGCCACCGCACCCGGCCTATTATGTTTTCAATCCCAGTATACATGTTAAGAAGTTTAATGTATACTGGTAGTTTGCTCATTAAGACATTTCCTCCTCTTCATGATATTTCTGAAACCTTTTTTCGGGCTTGCGTTGAAGTTTTATATTTTTTAGAGAGGATTTGTGTTTGCTTGTGTTAGTCACTTTCAGGCTGTTCCCCCCCACCCCCTTTTAAAAGCAGTTTTTTATTGTGGTATAATATACATAACATAAAAGTTACTGTTTAACAATTTTTAAGTGTACATTTATACAGTTCCTTGGTATTAAGTACATTTATAATGTTGTGCAGCCACCACCAATATTTATTTTTGGATCCTTTAAATCATTATAAACAAGAACTGTGTACCTATTAAACAGTAATTCTCCATTTCTCTACTTCCTTTAGCCTCTGGTAACCTTCATTCTACTTTCTGTCTCTATGAATTTGCCTATTCTGGGTACCTCATATATGTGGAATCATACAATATTTGTCCTTTTGCATCTGGCTTATTTCACTTAGTAACTGTTTTTAGGGTTCTTCCATCTTGTATCCTGTATCCAGTTTGTATCCCTTTAAGGGTGAATAACATTCCATTGTGTCTGTGTGTGTGTGTGTGTACATATGTACACACATACTATATTTTATTAATCTGTTGATAGAAATTTGTGTTGTTTCCGCCATTTAGCTTACTGTGAATAATGCTACTGTGAACGTTGGCATACAAGTGTCTGTTTGAATACATGCTTTTGTTATTTTAGATGTCTACCTAGAAGTGAAATTGCTAGCTCATATGGTAATTCTATGTTTAACTTTTTGAGGAACTGCCAAATTCTTTTCTACAGTGCCTGAACTGTTTTTCATTCCCACTAGCAATGCACAAGAGTTCCAGTTTCTCCCACATCCTAGCCAGTACTTGTTACTTTCCATTTTTAAAAGTAAATAATAGCAACCAGGCAGGGTGGCTCACACCTGTATTCCCAGCACTTTGAGTGGCTGAGGCAGGGAGGATGGATTGAGGCCAGGAGTTCGAGACCAACCTGGGCAAAATGGCAAGACCTCACCACTACAAAAAAAGTAAAAATTGCCTGAGCATGGTGGCATATGTCTGTGATCCCAGCTACTCCATAGGCTGAGGCAGGAAGATCACTTGGGCTCAAGAGGTCAAGGCTGCAGTGAGCTATGATGGCGCCACTGCACTCCAGCTTGGGCTCCCTTACCTCAAAAAAAAAAAAAGGAAAAAAAGCTGTCCTAATGGGTGAGAAGTAGTATCTCATTATGGGTTTGATTTGCATTTTCTAATGGTTAGTGATGCTGAGCATCTTTTCATGGGAGGGTATTTTAATTATGGGTTTTTCATGGCCTTGTACGTTGTGAAAATTCTGACTACATACCCTAGTTAATTGTGGTCTCTTATGGTTAGGGATTTCCTAACTGTCTTGGTTTATTCGGGCTGCTTTATTGAAGTTCATAGACTGAGAAGCTTTTAAACCTCACATTTCTCAGAATTCTGGAAGCTGGGAAGTTAGATCAAGATGTCCAGATTCAGTATCTGGTAAGGTCCCACTTTTTCACAAATGGTACCTTCTGGCTGTCTCGTCAAGGAATGGAAGGGGCAGACAATCTCCCTTGGGCCTCTTTGATAAGGGCACCAATCCCATTCATGAGAGCTGTGCTCTCGTGATCTACTCAGCTCCCACAGGCCCCACCTGTTAATACCATCCATATCTTGGGGTTAGGATTTCACCATATAAATTTGGGAACATTCAGACCGTAGCACTGACCATGGGGTGAATATACTTTATTTGTCTTTAGTTCAAGTCAAAAAGCCAGAACCAAGCGTAAGACATCAGAATTATCCCCAGTGCGTCTTCAGTGAGTTTTTTGTTTTGTTTTGTTTTTCCCTAGTTCACCCAGTCAGAGTGTTGCCCTTCAGCTTGTCTGGTTTTCAGTCTGACTTCTCATTTTGCTGGGGCCTTGAGGTTAACCTAATAATAGTCATACAGTACCGAGAAAGAAATGCCATCTTTGGAATTTCATTTAGCCCTCCGGGTTCCCACTTTCTAGTTGTTAATCGCTTCAAGAGGTTTCAGCCATGCACTTATAAAATTTTTTAAAATTCATAATGGGCACATTTAGTGTTCTGATCTAGAGTTTTTCAAGTTGTCAAGTTTTAACTACATTGCCAAAGCAGGAAACCTTGTTTTGTTCTTCTTCTGTTAAAAGGCAGGTATCAGTGAGTTTAAGGGAGAGTCTACCAGTCTGCATACAGTTCTCGTGAAGAAGGCAAGCAAACTATTTATAGGTACTTATTTCTAGAATCAGTGATCAAAGATGAGATTTAGGGCTGATTTTATATATTAATACATATTCATGTGCCCTCCATTTTTATTATAGCTTTCTAATCTGAGCTTCTTTGTGTAGCAAACACATGTATGGATGACTATGAATTAGTAAAAACAGATTTTAATGCCTTTTTCTCTTTGGAGGAAATCAGATGTTTACAAAAAATAGACAAAGGCAAGCCAATTAAAACAAAATCTAGAATAATCAAAGAGCTTGGGAAATGCTCACATTTGTTTTATATTGAATAGCTCTATTAATGAATACTTATTGCAGTTTGTTTTTATTTCAGCTTTGGCTAGATCAGAGTCTAAGAGAGATGGAGGTTTTAAAAATAATTGGAGCTTTGATCATGAAGAAGAAAGTGAAGGAGATACAGATAAAGAGTAAGGATTTTTTTTTCCCTCAGATGTTTTATAAGAATAAAACTTCTCATTAGAAAAACAATTTCTATTCCATAGAAATATTTTTAGGAATATGGTATTCTTAAGAAAACATTTAACTCTTTCACAGTCGCTTTAAGGAAAGAAAAAGCAGTTCTTTATTGATAAATTATTTTACTGTTATTTTCTCCATCTTTTGAAATGTATAAATATATGCTTGTAATACATGTAACCTTATAATTAAAAATTGACTGTACAATGGAAGGCTTCAAAATAAGGAAATTGTTTTTTGTTTTTTAAAAAGGCATTCTGTTCAGGCAGCAGTTTGAAAAGCCACCATTTATCATGAGTAAGTGAACCCAGATTAAGACCCTTGCATTTTGTATGAAAGTTTAAATACTGTAGTATCTTTCTTCCCCAGTTGTGACCACACCCCTACCACATCCATCTTAGGTCAGATTCTCACCAGAGAAAGCAGAACCATTATAAATGATAAACACAGGTGTTTACCCAGACAGAAGTTAAGCAAAGTGTTCATTACACTTTGTTAATCTACTTGGAATGACTGTTGTGTAAAAATTTTAAATGATAGTTTTAATAGAACTTTTTGTATGTTGCGAGATTTGTTTTTAAAATTCAACATTCAGTTTTTTGGCCGGGCGCAGTGGCTCATGCCTGTAATCCTAACACTTTGGAAGGCCAAGGCAGGTGCATCATTTGAGGTCAGGAGTTCAAGATTAGCCTGGCCAACATGGTGAGACCTCATCTCTACTAAAAATACAAAAAATTTGCTGGGTGTAGTGGCGCACACCTGTAATCCCAGCTACTCAGGAGACTGAGGCGGGAGAATCACTTGAACCCGGGAGGTAGAGTTTGCAGTGAACCCAGATCATGCCATTGCACTCCAGCCTGGGCGACAGAGTAAGACTCCGTCTCAAAAAAACAAAAACAAACAAGAAAACATTGTTTTTAGGTTTTTGATTTATTGATCTTGTTTTCTGCTGGCCAAAATAAACAACAAATTCAGAAATACACAAATATACACACGAAGTTCTACCAAAACTATAAATATGTTAGAGAAATTTTTATACAAGAAGTCATTCAGAATATATTGGCTAAATATTGTAGGTGCTTCACTTCTGTCTGGGCAACAGCTCCGTTCATCATTACCACTTTATGTGCCTTCACCGATGAGATGTTGATTTGAAGTTTTATTTGAAGGAGAGCTTTGAACTGGTAAGTCTCTCATTTAAAATCAGTATTTTATGGTTTTCTTTCTTTCATTTCTTTTATACTTTTTCTGATTACTTTAAAATATTAAACAATTATTGTTATATTCAGTATGCATATAGTTTTGAAAAATTAAGAGTTAAATCTGAAATTAAGCTGCATAGAAAATATAACACCTCTTAAACATGTTTGTAAAATGTTTATGAGATAAGTTTTATCATTAAAAAAATTTGGGATGTATATAAACATTGTAATAAAATATTTTACATTTTTGTGTAAATATCTAGGACTTTACAATAAATACCTTAGCTGAGTTGTCTTCGAAAAGGTTGTATTTGACTTTCTTTGGTGGCAGATTTACTATAGTTACACATTTTTTAAAAGCTGTCTTTAAGGTGCTACCTGTTCTGTACATTTCATTTATGAATTGTACTTTTTGGTTCATCATGAGTCTCAGGGATATCAGCTTTTTGAACATGTATCTATTAACAGGTTCATGTTATCTATTAACATGATAACATGATAATTTAATCTTTTAGAATTTCAGGCCAGTGATTTCTCAGTGAAGAGTTGATATTTCCAAGAGTGGTGGAAGTATACTATTTTACCATGGTAATAACACTGGAATTACTTCCTTTTCATTAGCTAAGACTTTCTTTCCTTTCAGTTCATTTCTTCTCCATTATTTTGTTTCTCTTGTCTTTCTATCCTTAATTTTCAATCTAAGACAGAAAGAAAAAATAAGTGAGAATAAACAAAATCCATAGCTAAATAAACAGAATTATGTGTTCATCTATTGTAGGGTTCAGCAAACTATGATCCATGGGCTAATCTTGCGTGCTATCTAAGTAGTAATTTTTGTGGGAACATAGCTACATGTATTGTTTATGGCTCTTTTCATACAACGTATGAGTAGCTACTACAGAGACCCTATGACCTGCAAAGCCTGTGGTCTGGCCCTTTACAGAAAAAGTTTGCTGATTCCCTGAATTAGGTGAACATAGAGGATAAAACCTCAGAATGTAATATAAGGATTATAATTGCTACTTAAGGGTTTTTTCCCCTTATTTTCTGTGTAGTGGGACAAATCTGCTCAGTGTGGATGAAGATGAGGATTCTGAAACCTCAAAAGGAAAAAAGGCAAGTGTTGCTTGAAATATTTTTTTTTAATGTTATATACAAAAAAATTGTTACCTCAAAAGAAGACCTAATATTTTTAATTTATAAACCCCAGTTACCCACTTTCTCCACCCCAGAGGCAAATGGTGTTCCCAATTTGTTATTTATCACTTTGGGAATGTTTTATGCATTATAAAGAAGAGAAATATTTCTACCTCCCATGTTACACAATTGGTAAGATACTGTGCATGATCTTCCTTTAACTTAATATATCTTGGAGACCATCTGTAAGAGTTCATAAAAACACCTCATTCTTTTCAGTGAGTGCATAGTATTCCATTGTGTTATATACCATTAACCAATTGCACGTATTGATGAATAGTGTTGTCAACTTTTTAATTCTTTTCTAAAATAACGTGTAAATTAGCCTACTATATGGGTTATTTTGCAGACATACAAGCGTATCTGTAGAATGAATTCCTAAAAGTTGCACTGCTTTATCAGGACAGGTCCATTTCTAATTTTGGTGTACCAGATTTACACTTGTTCCATCAATATCTGAACGTTATCTGTTTCCCCACACATCTGTCATAATGTCATCAACCTTTGATCTTTGCCAGTGAAAACTGGTATCTCAGTGTAGTTTTAATTTCCATTTTATTTTTTGGGAGGTTGAATATCATTTCATATGTATAGTCTAATTCTTTTCTAAAATAATTGTCAGTTAATATCCTTTGCCCGTTTCTCTATCTGGTCTTTAGAATATTATTCATAGGAATTCTTTTTATATTTAGTCTAAGACAGACTTTTTTTTTTTTTCACATTTTGACATCTTTGAAATCTGGATGCATCTTATAAGATAGTGTGACACGCTTTAATTATTTTTAAAAACTGTTTTTGGCCAGGCGTAGTGGCGCACGCCTATAATCCTAGCACTTTGGGAAATTGCGGTGGGAGAATTGCTTTAGGTCAGGAGTTTGAGACTACCTGGGCAACATAGTGAGACTCCATCTCTAAAAAATAAAAATTTTTGCACAGTACATACGATAGTGGTATATTATGTAATAGTTTTATGGGTTTGATGAAATAAGGTATTTTGGAGAAATTGGCCCTTTGCTGTGATACTAGTTGTTAATATATATACGTGTGTGTGTACTGTTTTTTTTTTTTTTGAGACAGAGTCTGGCTCTGTTGCCCAAGATAGAGTGCAGTGGTGCAGTCTCAGCTTACTGCAACCTCCGTCTCCTGGGTTCAGACAATTCTCATGCCTCAGCCACACGGGTAGCTGGGATTACAGGCATACGCCACCATGCCTGGCTAATTTTTGTATTTTTAGTAGAGAACGGGTTTCACCATGTTGGCTAGACTGGTCATGAACTCCTGGCCTCAAGTGATTGTCCTGTCTCTGCCTCCGAAAGTGTTGGGATTACAGACCTGAGCCACCGCACCTGGCCATTACTAAAATTTTAACTCAGGTTTTTCACTAGTCTTTTGTCTTTGCTTATGATGGCTATTGCCATGGGGAAAATATATTTCTTTGTGTCATCAAATGTATCATTTTTTCTTTTAAAGGCTTTTGGGTCTACTGTCTTTGTGCTTAATGATGTTAATTTAATAACTTATTTGGGGCTGGGCACGGTGGCTCATGCAAGTAATCCCAACACTTTGGGAGACCAAAGCAGGCAGATCACTTGAGGTCAGTAGTTCGAGACTAGCCTGGCCAACATGTTGAAACCTCGTCTCTACTAAAGATAGAAAAAATTAGCCAGGTGTGGTAGTGGGCGCCTGTAGTCCCAGCTACTTGGGAGGCTGAGGAAGGAGAATTGCTTGAGCTCAGGAGGCGGAGGTTGCAGTGAGCTGAGATTGCGCCACTGTGCTCCAGCCTGGGTGACAGAGCGGGACTCAGTCTCCAAACAAAAAATAAAACAAAAAAACCCACTTTTATATGCTTTGTCTTATTAGATATATAAAATAGTTTCACAACAGTAATACCAACATAATTACCAATAAAATGATTTTCAAATTATTTTGTTTCCTAGTTTTTGATGACACATATAACAGGTATATGTGTCCCACTAGGAATGTGTATTTAAATTAGTATATTTTTAAGTCATTTGGAATTGTTTATTTCTGTTTGGTATTCTACCAACTGAATAGAGAGTTAGGTTTGTTGTTGTTGTTGTTGTTTTTAATTTTGTTTTTTGTAGTGAGGAATTGCATTTTATTTTCATTTTAATTTTTGTTGTATAAATTTTTTATATGGTTTCAGCATCACATCTCAAAAGAAGTAATTTTCAGAGAAATCTAATTTTATCTTGATTCCCTTTATTCTGTTTTCCCTATAAGTGACTTGTTTTAAAAATTAGGTGGCTTAGCTTTTTTTTAGTGTATATGTAAGCATATACTACTTTTCTTGGAAAAACTATCCATACTGTTTGCTGACACCTTGATTTTCTTACTTAACAGTATGTTATAGAGATCAGTCTACAGCAAAGTATTTACAGATCTTTGTCATCCTTTTTATTATATAGTACTCCATTGGATGGATATACTGTAGATATTTAATTTGTCCCTACTGATGAATAGAGATTTTTTCCCCCAGTCTTTTGCTATTACATATAAGACTTTACTAAAACCTTGTGCATATATATTTTTTTCATATCTGTGTAGTATATTTGTGGGATAGATTCCTAGAATTGAAGTTGCTATTTCAGAGGTGAAATTCACATGTGATTTTGCTAGATACTGCCAAATTCCCTATCTATAAGTGTTAACATTAGCCATTCCCACTAGCAGTGTATGACTCTGTTTCCCTATAATCTTGCAAAATATGTAGTCACACTTGAATTTTTGCTGATCTGAACATAGCACCTTCTTCACATATTTCCTGTATTTACACTGTAAGAATTTGAAGAACTTTTACATTTCCTTTTTTCCCATCTGTTTTTTTTTTTCCCCCTCTTCAACAGCTCTATTTTGTCATAATTTGAGGAAATTTATTTTGTTTATTTATCTATTGATACTGAGTCTCACTCTCTTGCCCAGGTTGGAGTGCGGTGGTGCAGTGTCGGCTCACTGTAACTTCTGCCTCCCGGGTTCAAGCAATTCAAGCAATTCTCCTGCCTCGGCCTCCTGAGTAGTTGGGATTACAGGCAGACACCACCAAACCAGCTAATTTTTATATTTTAGTAGAAGTGGGGTTTCACCATGTTGGTCAGGCTGGTCTTGAACTCCTGACCTCAAATGATCTGCCCGCCTTGGCCTCCCAAAGTGCTGGGATTACAGGCGTGAACCACTGTGCCCGGCCTGAGGAAATTACTGAATTTGATGTTTTTCTGTTAATACTATTAAGTTTTTCTTTATGAAGTTTTTCATACTGAAAAACTCTTAAGGTTTTTCCCACTGCAGGTTTTCCTAGCTTTTATTTTAACATCTGGATTTCCTGAAGTGCTGCTTTTTAGGTGTTCTTTACATAGACAAGAAAAAAATAGAAAAAAAGGAGTGAACTGGGTAGATGAAAATAAGATGTGGGTGGGCACGGTGTCTTTTGCCTGTAATCCCAGCACCTTGGTAGGATGAAGCAGGATGATCGTTTGAAGCCAGGAGTTTGAAATCAGCCTGGGCAACAAAATGAGACTCTACCAGAAATAAAAAATAAAAGATGTTTTCTATCACTAACTTATATAGGGCATTGGTCTTAATGTACATATATAGAGCTTTCAGATTTTTTTCTTTTTGAAATGGAGGCTTGCTCTTTCGCCCAGGCCAGAGGGCAGTGGTATGATCTCAGCTCATTGCAACCTCTACCTCCTGGATTAAAGGAATTCTCCTGCCTCTGTCTCCAGAGTGACAGGAGACACCACCACGCCACCACGCCTGGCTAATTTTTTATATTTTTAGTAGAGACCATGTTGGTCAGACTGGTCTCGAACTCCTGACCTCATGATCCGCCCACCTCGGCCTCCCAAAGTTCTGGGATTACAGGCGTGAACCACTGTGCCTGGCCTGCTTTCAGATTTCTTATGATTTTTTGTAAAAGTATATGCTTTATTACATATTTTTAAAATGTAAATATTTATGTTTTAAGGTAAAACCTACAGGACACATTGATTTATGTAGTGAACTCTAAAGATCATTCTGATATGATAGTATCATCTATTTTAAATATACATGGACCATCTCTTCTTTAACAGTTAGAAATTTTATATTGTGCCTTTTCCCTCTTAAATTCATATTTCTTCTGTTCAGTTTTCCCACAGAATCTTAATATGATATACTTTTATGTAATTGAAAATCTTTTTATTATCCTATCGCACTTTAATAGAGATATTCTTCACTGAAGATAAACTTTACTGAAGCTTAACATTAAGTAAAACTCCTGCTACTAAAGTTTGTTTTTTTAAAAACTGAGTTATCATTATAATGATTAATGAACACTTGCTCTAAAAAGTATTATTATAGATATTTATAATTATTAAATTTATTATGCAAAATAGTATTGGAAATTTATCTTTTAACATGGATGAGGCTGATGGTTTCCCTTTTTATTCATTTAGTTTGTCTGTTCATGAATCCATATTACCTGAATGAAACTTTCTGAATAATTTTACTCTTTCTTAAAAGTGGACACGTAACAGTTGTACATATTTATGGAGGGAAATTTATTTTTAAACTTTTTTGTTAGACACAAGTGCTGAGAAATCCTGGTTACATTCTAAGTATATAAATATGGAAATAGTCTTGCTATAGTATTATCGTACAATTCTTTTTTTATTTGAGACAGAATCTCTTGTCTCCCAGGCTGGAGTGCAGTGGGGCAATCTCGACTCACTGCAGCCTCTTCCTCCTAGGCTTAAGTGATCCTCCCGCCTCAGCCTCCCAAGTAGCTGGGACTACAGGCGCCTGCCACCACATCTAATTTTTGTATTTTTAGTAGTTTTAGTGGTTTTGCTGTGTTGGCCAGGCTGGTCTCAAACTCCTGACCTCAAGTGATCCACCCACCTTGGCCTCCCAAAGTGCTGGAATTACAGACATGAGCCATCGTGCCTAGCCACAGTTCTTTCCTTTTGAGTTAAATGCCAAAAATTACATAGTGACCAAACATTTAAAAATTAAACATAATTTGTAATCCAGTCATTAGGTCCTGGCCTTCCAGATTTTGGAGAAATGCACTAAAAAAGCTTTACCAAGGTTTGAATAGCTAGTATACTTGTTATTTTTAGGTTTCTTTTTTTGTTTTGTTTTGTTTTAACCAAATATTCTCAGAAATAATTGGAAAAACTGAAATCTTGTTATTTTCTGTATGCTTTTGCCAATACAGTACTTTTTTTTTTTTTTTTTTGAGACAAAGTCTCCTGTCCCCCAGGTAGGAGTGCAGTGGCGCGATCTTGGCTCACTACAACCTTCCCCTTCCCAGATTCAAGCAATTCTCCTGCCTTAGCCCCCTGAGTAGCTGGGACTATAGGCATGTGCCACCATGTCCGGCTAGTTTTTGTATTTTTAGTAGAGACAAGCTTTCGCTATGTTGGGCAGGCTGGTCTCGAACTCCAGACCTCAGGTGATCCGCCCACCTTGGCCTCCCAAAGTGCTGGGATTACAGGTGTGAGCCACCACGCCCAGCCAGATTGAGGATTTAAAGTTGATTACCACGACAACCATGCTTGATAATCCTTCAGAAAGTCTTTATGTGTCCCAGGGATATATACATATATCTACCTGGATTTTGAATAGCTTACAGGTAATGTATAGATCTGTCAAACTAAAGGAAGAAACTGAGGCAAAATTAATGTAGTTAATAAGTTAATATAGTAAAAATTAATATATTATAGTGAGTTTATCTGAGTCACATTTGAGGACTGCAACCTGGGAGCATAGATTTAAGTTGTCCCACATGTATGCTTCGAGATTAGCAGCAGTTACGAGTGAGTTTTGTAATAAAAAAAAGAAGAGACTATTCCTAAGTTGTTTACCAAGAATTTACATTAAAATAGCTAACAATAGATACTGATTGGCCATACTTTGTTCTTTGTATCACAAATTCCTGGAACATGAAAATAATGAGTGAGGACTACAATGTGCAACTTGTGATAACTTTTTTTTTTGAGATGGAGTCTTTTGTCGCCCAGGCTGGAGTGCAGTGGCATGATGTCAGCTCACTGCAATCTCCGCCTCCTGGGTTCAAGCCATTCTCCTTCCTCAGCCTCCCAAGTAGCTGGGATTACAGGCATGCATCACCATGCCTGGCAAATCTTTATATTTTTAGTAGAGACGGGATTTTGCCATGTTGGTCAGGCTGGTCTCGAACTCCTGACCTCAGGTGATCCACCAGCCTTGACCTCCCAAAGTGCTGGGATTACAGGCGTGAGCCACTGTACCTGGCCAACATTTTAGGTAATTTATCTGCTAGTCAGGAAACTACAGGCAAGAAAAAGCACATAACACCTTTAAATAGTTGCCTTTGGGCATGGGTCGGGGACTATGACTGAAATTCCTTACGTCTCTCTGGGCCTCACAGAGCTCAGACTGCTCTGAGCTGTTCTTCTTTCCTCAGGTCCATATGGATCATTGGTTTAAACTATTATAGACTGGTTTCTCCGTTTGAAAATGAGTGTAGAATTAGGAGAAATCCTTTATTTTAGTTCACAGTGTCTTCATATCTTTCCCCTTCTCTTTCACAGAATCTTCTCTTTGCCTTTGGGCGTCTGCAGTTTCACTGTGCTTCTTTTAAGGGATTTATATCTTTTGTTAGTTAAGAAAACATTTTAGTCATTATTTCTGTGGATTTTACCTTTCTACATTATTATTTCTAGACCTTCTAATAGACATAAAACCATCATTAAAAAAACAAAAAGAAGAAGAATCCCGTAACCTGTATTTTATGTTTAAAAGCAAAAAAGGAAAAAAAAAAAAAGGCTAATGGAATGAAGTATATTTCTGTACCATATTCTGAGTAATTTCCTTAGCTCTATCTTCCGATTTACTTTTATTTTTAGCTCTATCTAAGCTGCTAGGTAATCCATACATTGAATTTTTTTTTGTACTTTTTAAAAATTTCAGTGACATCATTTATAGAACTGCTGTTGGTTCTCTTTCAAAGTTGTATTTTCTATAGTGTGTCTAATTTTTTACTGTTTCAATTCTTTTTTTTTTTTTTTTTCAGAATTTGAGTGCTTTTAACATACGTATGTCTCTAACTTAATGGTTTCATTTAGGTTCTCTTATTATCTGATATTCTTCAGTGCTAAACTTCCTGAATATCAGTACTTGTACTTAAATTATATGATGTGTGATAATTTTGGGTGGAAGATAACATTGATAATTTTTTGCATATTTAGTATTCTCAATGAAGTATTCATTGATGCAGCAAATACATATTGAGCACAGTGTTGGAGCAAAACAGATTTTTTTGTTCTTGTGGAACTTAAATTCTAGTAACTTGCTATGCTTATTAGTTACTTAATGATTAATGTTATAAACAGGGGTTGTCATGTTAAAGCTCTAGCCTGAAATCTAGTGTCTGTTAGCTACAATGGTTTTTACATTTTTAAATGCTTGGAAGAAAGAATCAAATGAATTCTATTTCATGACATGTGAACATAATATAAAACTCAAATCTGTGTCCATAAGTAAAGTTTTCTTGGAAAACGGCCATGCTTATTTATAAATTGTTTGTGGCCACTTTTGTGCTGCAACAACAGATTTGAATATTTGGACAGAGTTGAGTAGATACAAAGACCATATGATCAAGAAAGCGTAAAATACTTTTAGCCCTTTGCAGAAAAAGTTTGCTGATCCCTGTATCAGTGTTTATTTTGTATAAATGTATTTCATAGATTGATATCCAGAGTCCCCCTTGAAGACTCCCAGTGAATGACTGAAACCCCAGAGAATACTGAATCATATATCCTAGGATGAAGCATTGGTGAAACCATTCCATAAACAAAGTGACTGTCACCCACACTTTAATTGTGTTGCCAGAACACAGGCAGATATTTTTTGTTTTTGTTTTTGGGAGCGTGTGGGTTTAAACACTCTGGACAGTAATACCTGGTTTTAACTATGCCCCACAGCATTGCTACATAGTACCAGAGTTAAGCTGTCCTTTCATGTTTTATGCCCTGGTGCATTTTTATGAATTAGTATGTACTTCCCTTGCCTGAGTGTTATTCATAATCTCTGAAAAGCTTAACAGTGATACCATAGAAGAACTTTAGAGACAATCTTAGTATGTACTAGCAGAGGAGTGGCTAAATTAAAATATTTTTTGGAATGCAATTGACTGTTAGTAACTGATACCGTAGAAAGCAAAACCATAGATAAAGGGGGACTACTATGTAGTATTGTTGGATAAGTTGTATGTTAACCAGACAGAATAGCAGACTCTAGGCTTGCCAATACTGTCTACTTTCTAGAATTGTCATGAGATTTATATGAGATGATGTAATTCACACAGTATATGACACTAGCAGTTTTCTGGAAATAGCTACATTTTGTTATTATTAAATGCAGTGTTATTGAAGCTTTGTAAACTGATGTTTCTTTGCAAATAATGTTTATAGTTTCAGGTCTGACATCAGTAAAGTCCTTGTTTGTAATTGGTTTTCTAGTCATTTGATCTCTTTTTGAACAAATGGATTCATCTATTCACAGTAGTTCTCTTGATGCTGTGCTTGCATTACCTGGAAAACTGTCTTAGGCTGGGGTAGGGCAGTGGATTAAAGTTTTAGGCAATTCCAGACTGAACATATCATCATGATTTTATTAATGGGAGTACTCTAATCTGTGAGATAATCAACCATAAATTTTTAAAAACTTATTTACACCTTATTTCCTCCCAGTAATTTGATGTAGATTACCAAATTAGGAGCACAAATAAAATGATGGAAAATCAAAACAATTAGGAGGTGAGTAGATTTGCCAGGATTCTAAAATAATTTATATGTTGTATTTTATTTTATTTTATTTATTTATTTATTTATTTTGAGACGGAGTCTCGCTCTGTTGCCCAGGCTGGAGTGCAGTGGCCGGATCTCAGCTCACTGCAAGCTCCACCTCCCGGGTTCACGCCATTCTCCTGCCTCAGCCTCCCGAGTAGCTGGGACTACCGCCACCTCACCCGGCTAGTTTTTTGTATTTTTTAGTAGAGACGGGGTTTCACCGTGTTAGCCAGGATGGTCTTGATCTTGTGACCTCGTGATCCGCCCGTCTCGGCCTCCCAAAGTGCTGGGATTACAGGCTTGAGCCACCGCGCCCGGCCTATATATGTTGTATTTTAATTCAACAGTTGTCTCTAAATTTTCTGGGAACTGAAATTGTGTCCTGTAATTGTATAATTGTATGATAAAAGAATCTTCACAAATTTATTTTGCTCCTTTTGCCCGTTATATACTGTGATCTCTCTAAAGTGATTGTTACTGATATGTTTCTACTATTATTTGCATCTATTGAAGTATAAAGTATCAATTTCTGTCTGTATAGAAACTTTGATACTAAGGCAAAAGTTCTTACACAAAAGCACAAGTTGAAATGATAGCCGATTGCCATATTTGGCTGTAGTGTTCTCCAGATAGCAGCAAGGCCTGATAAGCAGGGGAAATGCTTACTTTTTACTCTCTGGAGAAAGTTGTCCTAAGATCCTCTACCCTAATTGTCTCAAATATCTTTGGAGAGATTTACATAAAAAGAAAGTAATACAATAAACCTCCATGTTCTTACAAATTTGCATTGTCTTTAGGAAAAAAAAGTAGGCAGTTGAATCATTCTTAGATCCATGCCAGTACTATCCACCATCATTCCAAATAGCTGTACGTTTTCACTACTTTTAAATGGTTTTCAAATAGTTGTTGATAGATTATCACATTATAGCATTTATCGACTCATATTTCTGGATCTTTTTTTACAGTTAAATCGTCGATCTGAAATTGTTGCTAATAGTTCTGGTGAATTCATCTTGAAGACATATGTAAGACGAAACAAGTCTGAAAGTTTTAAAACTTTGAAAGGCAACCCAATTGGACTTAACATGTTGAGCAACAATAAGAAATTGAGGTATAGGCACTTCACCACACATCCTATAGAAAAGATAAAGGAAGAGTTTGACACCAAAAACTTTGAGGCTAATAGGCCCAACCTGTACCTTTTCTTCTGAATTTGTCAAGAGGGCCAAGAGGTAGCATGGTCCCAGTATATGGATTCTTTGCTTTGAATCTTAGGAGTAGGATTGATTGCAGTGTCTCTTGTTTCTGAATAAAACATTGCAAGAAATACTTTATTAGGGTGGGATCTCGTGATTTTGTTTTCATACATTTAGTAGAATCTCAGTCATAATATTTGAAGAAGCACAATAGAGTGATGTGGTCATGTCTCCTTTAGGAAATACTAATCAGGATTGTCTCAATAGGGGACTTACAAATTTCTTATTCCTCCTTTTTTCAGAAATAACCCACCTTTCCTACTGGTTACCATAGTGAACCACTGTTACTGGTAGGATTGGGTATCAGTAGCAACTCAGAAGTAGGGTTGAAACTCACTTTTATTTCTGCTGTTTCAACTTACACATAGACAAATGAAGTACATAAAAGCTCAGTAACTTTCAAGTCAGTGGCAAAATCAGAAATAGTATTTAGGACTCCTGATTTTTATTTTAGTATTCTGCTTTATTTTTTAAATTTTCTCAACCTCCGCCTCCCCAGGTTCAAATGATTCCCTGCCGTAGCCTCCTGAGTACCTGGGATTACAGGTGCCCACTACCATGCCCGGCTGATTTTTGTATTTTTTATTAGAGACGGGATTTCACCATGTTGGCCAGGCTGGTCTCAAACTCCTGACCTCAGGTGATCTGCTATTTTTTTAGTTTTCTTTAATAGGACTGGAAACATTTGAAAGACAAATTCAAGAAATGGAAAACTCCCAATAGACAATTGGGTTTATCCATACATTTTTAAAATTATTATTGGTAAAGGTTTTTGTGTATGTTTGTTCAGATTTTAAACGATTTCTTTTATAAATGTGTATATAATTTTTCCGTGTTCAAATTATTTTGTGTTTCTTGAATCTGCAGTGAAAATACGCAAAATACGTCATTATGTTCTGGAACTGTAGTTCATGGTAGACGTTTTCATCATGCTCATGCACAGATACCAGTAGTAAAAACAGCAGCCCAAAGGTAAGAATTCTAATTGTCTTTGGTTAGTATATACATGGCATCCTCTTCAATAGGTTTTCACCTTTTTTAACCATTTTTTTCCTTTGTGAAAACTTACTGTTTTCACTGTCTGTAGAGAGATATATCTCTGAAATAATTCATGACATGAAATTATACTATTTTATATCTGTTTTTGAGTAATCACATTCTGTAAATAGAGAATTTTTTCAATAAGAATTTTTTCTCTATTTACAGAATCACATTCTGTAAATAGAGAATTTTAGTCAAGAAGACCTATTCTATTGCATTATAATCCCGAGACTCTAAGATGATATTTAAATTAAACTGATTTACAATAATGACCTTACAGTGTTTTAACTATCTTCAGTTGGTGGTTTAGCTCTGAAGAGTAAAATTACAGTTAATACCATACTTTCTTTATAAGGCTTATAAAAGTTCATAGCATCAAAACAAGTCACATTAGTTTTAAATGTTGGAGAAAATGTTATTTTGTAGTTTTAGTTAGATTTAGGAGTTCTCATTGATCTTGAAAGTACTGCTTGACTCGAAATAATGAAAGTAACATTTGGAGGACCATTTTTGGAATGTTACATGACCTTTCAGTTGACTGAAATTCTTAGGCTAAAAGAGTTAAATAAATAATCTGTTTATTGCATCATAAACAGTTCCTTATAACTAGTAACGTTTAAAAATTTGGCATATATTTTAGATGCTGTTCTTCATTTTTTAAAAATGTAAAATCTAGACTCATTTAAAAGACATGTCCTGAACCTTGCTATATTTTTCTGTTTACATAGATGTGCCATCAGCTCTTTTACTTAAAAACGTTAAGTAACCTCACACTTCGCGATAAACCAACCTTTTTTTTGCCTTAAATATATTATTGTATCAAATAGTGTTCACATAAGATACTTGAAAAATTTAAAAGGACAAAGAAATTACTATGCATACCAAAAATTGGCTTGCTCTACTGCAAAGTACACAAACAAATCAAGCTCTCTGGCCTACATGTGGCAAAAACATGAGAACAAATAATAAAAGGAGAATAATTAGGGGAGAGAAAAAGAGTAGACACGTGCTCATGCACTGATGATACTAATAGAAACCATTGCTGATAAAGGTGTCTTAATAGTCTGATAATGTAGTCTAAGTTTGAAATACTAATTTAAACCTTATAGTCAACTTAGGTGTTTCATTTATAACCAAAATTATTACATTATTTTTGTTTTTGAAGTTGTCTGTTAGTTTAGAATTACTAGTGACCTATTCTCCATTCCTCATTTCCTCATTGGTAATGTTAAAAAAAACAGTTAACAGTCTGGAAATTGGGTTGCGATTTGTTTTCCTCTAGGTGTCAACACCTATAACATTTTGCATGTGTATTATTGCTCATTTACATAAAAGATTAGATTCGGTTAATATGAACTTGTATATATTGGTAAAATGTTTAAAATATTGTTAAAATCAACAACCTGAGTTAATTTGTATTTAAGAAATAATCCTGATTGAAAAATTCTTAACGATTAGGGGCAGTAAAGAAAACTGTATAATCAAGTCAGCAGGACAGAAAACTGTATAATCAAGTCAGCAGGACAGATACTACTTACATTTGTCTTTTATTTATTCTGTATAAGAATAAACATTTCGTATTCCAACTGCAGTATGACTGTCACTAAAAAGATTTTGATGTTCAAAGACAAGTCATTGAGAGTTTTTCAGTTTTCTTCCTTCAAAAACATTGAATGATTTTATGCTGCATACCAGACATAGATGAGGTGCATTAAGATGATTATGATAAAATTCCTACCAGTAAAGCTCAAGTTTGATTGCAGTAGAGGTTGATTAGGGTACAGAAAGACAAGTAAACAAATGATTACATGCATGGTTAGGGCAGCAGTAGAGATATACAGAATATGTGTAGTGAAACTATAGAGAAGGGAACAAGAATTTATAAAGGAAACATTAAAGGAGTTTTTGAGTGTACCAGGTAGAAGAGGACACTGCATGCAGGAGGAATCACATCTTCAAAGGCACGAAGAAAGGCTTTAACTAAGATTGTTGCTTGCAGGGATTTAGCACAATTGTTAGACTTCAGGTGAGGGTAAACACATTGGCTTTTACAGCTTCTCCTAAATGTTCTTATTTTCTGAAGTCTTTTTTTTTTTTTTTTAAATTATAGAGATAGGGTTTTGCTCTGTTGCCCAGGCTGGAGTGTGGTGGCACAGTCATAGCTCACTGCAGCCTCAAACTTCTGGTCTCAAGCAATCCTCCCACTTCAGCCTTCTGAGTAGCTAGGACTACAGGCATGCACCACCGCACCTGGCTAACTTTTAAAACAAAATTTTTTCTAGAGATGTGGTCTCGCTTTGTTACTGCAAGCAGCAAGCAGTTAGCTGCAAGCAGTCCTCCTGCCTCAGCATCGTAAAGTGGTGGGTTTACAGGCCTAAGCCACTGCACCTGCCTCAAGTCTTATAATAATTTGAAATGAAAACAAATGCCATCAATCTGGTAATTCATACATAGAATATTCTTGGGGTGAGTGGTGTATCTTGTCTTTTAAGTAAATCAGATGTGCTAAAATCTGGGTAATTTGTAGTTCTTTAGTCATATATGGGAACGAGTGCTTTACACCTTTTTATCTAAACAGAATGAGTGAAGTTTGGTAAAATATCACATTAGATTAGTCTTTGGGACATAATTAAGGTTCCAGTCTATTTTCTTACTACTATTCCAACTGTTAATTAAATTCATATTTAAAAGAGAGATTGTTTATACACTAATAATGGTAGAGAAGTATGGAAAAAAAACAAAATGCAGAAGTTTAAAAGTCTATACATACCATCCGTGCCCCTAACTCCAATCAGACTTGTTGAAACAACACATTATATGGGTTTATGTTTTACTTACACTTACACTTTGACTTTTTATTAAGTATAGATAATATTCTTATAAGGTCCTTGTAAGTCTTCTTATCATCTAGTCTTCCCCCTCAGGGGGAAATGGATACCTATGAAAGCTTATGTAATTCATAAATAGGAATATGGGCTTCTGGAATAAGTAATATTTAATTATTAGTGAAAAGCACCATTTTGAGAGGTTTTGTTTGTTTGTTTGTTTGAGATGGAGTCTCGCTCTACTACCCATGCTGGAGTGCAGTGGTGTGATCTCCACTCACTGCATCCTCCACCTCCTGGGTTTAAGCAATTCTCTTGCCTCAGCCTCCTGAGTGGCTAAAATTACAGGTGTGTGCCACCATGCTAATTTTTTTTTTTGTATTTTTAGTAGAGATGCAGTGTCACTGTGTTGGTCAGGCTGGTCTCCAACTCTTTACCTCAAATAATCCGCCCGCCTTGGCCTCCCAAAGTGCTGGGATTACAAGCTTGAGCCACCACACCTGGCCCATTTTGAGAGAATTTTTGAAGTTGTAAATGAGATCAATGATACCAGAATTTATCTATTAGTCTTTTTCCCTTCCCTTTCTTTTCTTTCTTTTCTTTTCTTTTTTTTTTAATGCCACAGTTACAGTACTAATTGAAGGTAATTTTTCTTTTCTGTATTGTATGAAATAGTCCAACAAGAATGTAAGTTGACATTTTTACAAAGTCCTGCATTACTAATAATGACTTTTCCCCATTTTTTATGTTTTATTTTAATATGTAAGCAACTCTAAGGCAGGTCTTGATAAAAACACATATCGAAGATACTTGTAAGAATTCCATGACTTGTTAATCAGATATATTATAATGAATGCATTTTTTCTTAAGGATAAGAAAAATGAGCATTGGTGTGTGTCTTTGTATATATATATATTTTTAATTTTTACTGTTTTCCTTTTCCTAACTCCCTTGGCTTATTGGGAAGCATTATACCTAACCCGTTTCTTCTACCTCTGTTCTTCTACCTATTTCCTTTCCTCTGTACAGGTGAGTATAAAAAACAACCAAGGCCGGGCGTGGTTGACTTATATCTGTAATCCTAACACTTTGGGAGGGCAAAATAGGAGGATACCCTGAGACCAGGAGTTCAAGACCAGCCTGAGCAACATGGCAAAACCTTGTCTCTGTAAAAAATACAAACATTAGCCAGGCATAGTGGTGCACACCCGTAGTCCCAGCTGCTCGAGGTGGGAGAATCACCTGAGCCTAGGGAGATCAAGGCTACAGTGAACTGTGATTATACCACTGCACTCCAGCTTGGGTGATAGAGCCAGACCCTGTCATCTCAAAAACAAAAACAAGAGAGTACTAAACTGTTCTTATTTCTTGGGCACAGCAGTATAGAATTGGAAATGGCTACATTAGGTATTAATGCCTAACTTTTGGTTTTCATTTTACTTTTTCTGGAAATACAGCTGTATAAGAAATAAATACATAGGATAGGATAGACTAGATTTAAACTTTTATGTTTATATTTTGCTTTGCTTCTTTAATAGGGATGTGATTATATTACCTTGTTTTTCTGTCATTTAACATTTATTTTATGCAAGTTATTCTTTTTTAAATAGCAAAGATAAAATTTCAGATATATTCATGTACATTTATAATGCTTTTCTTTTTGAAAAATTTTTAAAAATTTGTGTGTGTTTTTAATGTTTTCATGTAAAAACAAGTTACTATATATTTTTTTCTTCATTTGCTGGGATTAAATCGATATTGTAGTTGCATACTCCACATGATAGGAGTATAAGAATTGATGAAGGAATTTGGAGATTTTGTAATTTATGCTTTGCTGATAGTTCCAAATGTTTCATTCCTTTTATTATAAGGAGAAATAATATTAGATGTGAATCTCATGTTATTCTAAATTGAGGGATTATATAATTTCATTCTTGAGTAATTGATGTTAATAGCATTTTGGAGTTTTCATGAACTATGGAGAAGGGTGCAACTTTTATACATTGGACTTGTGATGAGAAGCCACGATTTTAAATTATAGGCCTTTCCTTGTGTCCCAAATCATATACCGTATTTAATCTAAGACTTTCGTGCAAAAGTTTCAGCCTTAAAAATTTTTTTTTCTTACTCCGAAGGAAATAATCATACCTGATATCAGGATCAGTCTGGAACCAATACAAATTTTATAACTTCTAGGAAATGCTATTGTTTCTTGAAGTCTATTTCTGTAACAACAGTAGTCTCCTCCTTTTTTGTGGTTTTGATTTAACCATTCCCTTTTTAGTACTGAGATTGTTTCTAAATTTGCTATGATGTCATTATTGAATTTTTCAGATATTGAGAATTATGTCCAGGTGAGGAAAGTACATACTATTCATAGAAGTACAAAGGAGGTACCATGGCATTAAACATGAAAGGACAGGCTAACTCTGGTGCTATGTAGCAACACTCTCAGGCATATGATAAAACCAAGTGTAGTATACAGAGCAAAAACCCCGTGTGCTCACAACATTTGCTCATCTTCTGGCAACGTAATCAGAAAATGTGGTTGACAGCCATTTTGTTTATGAAATGTTTCCACCAGTGCTTCATTTTGGTATATTGGATTCGGTACTATCCTCCGTTTCAGGCACCCACTGAGGGTCTTGGAACAGATCCTTGGAGAAAAGCAGGGAATATTGTGTTCTAACATATCTTCAAATATTTGATAAAGCCCTTTCAAGAATTTTTTATATTTTTGTGTATTCATCTTCCTGTTAAATATCAAAAGATTGTTTATTTTGTGTATTGATAGAAATCGAAAAACAATTTAGACATGACTCAAAACCTAGTGTATTTTTTATATATATATAATGTATTTAAAACAAGTTGATCACATTATAGTTTTGCCTTATGACTATAGTTACTACAACTACAGTGATATATCAACAATGAGGTCTTGCCTCTTACATTTTTTTTCTTTTTCATGTTTTAAGCAGTCTGGACCGAAAAGAAAGGTAAGCTTAATATTGAAGAAATTAGAGCATGGATATAGTGGTAAAATATAAAATTGTTTATATGTTTCGAAAAATATTTGTTGAATTAGAGTTTATAATTAAAACTTTTTTAATTTTAAATTTTTAGCTGACATGTAATAATTGTACATATTTATGGGATACAGAGTATATGTCAATATAGGTATACAATGTGTAATGATCAGATCGGGGTAATTAGTATATCCATCACCTCAAACATTTATTGTTTCTTTGTGTTGTCAGCATTCAAAGTCCCTTTTTCTGGCTTTTTGAAAACATATATTATAGTTAACCATATTCACCCTAAGTGCCACAGAAAGTGAGAGCTTATTCTTCCTGTCTAGCTGTAATTTTGTATTTGTTAACCCACCTCTCTCCATCCTCTCCTCCCCCACCCTTCTCAGCCTATAGTATCCACAGTTCTACTCTCTAGAATAAAAGGAAACTTGTTGACAATACAACATGGTATTTGGCTTATATAGGTGGTATTTGAGGCTCATTCTGAATGTACAGTTTTCTATGAATGGTTATATTTATGCTAATAAGTGACTACTTTCTTTTAAAATAGAGTATTTCAATGCTTTAGTAGTAAAATTGCTTTCAGTTACATTATCAGAATCTTTGTCATTATATTTTAGTGATAATACTCTTGTTTTTCTGCTTTAATAGATGGGGGGCAGGGAAATGTATTAGAACACCTTAAACTTAGAGTTAAAACTTTAAACATCAAGTGTATTCTCTTCTGACTGAAAAGTAAGAGAATCTTGTGATCAGTCTTCTTCTGTCATTATTTTTTCTCTTTGTAAGAACACTGGCGTTTAGGGGATATTTGAGTGCTATAATGGCATGGAAAAGTGTTTAAGAAAACACACACATTTCTTTGAACTTTTCAAAGTAAAATGATCATAATTGTTCTAAAGTGGGTATCCATAAGAGTAGCTTCTCTGGACTGGGCATGGTGGCTCTCGCCTATAATCTTAGCACTTTGGGAGGCCAAAGCGGTAATATCTCTTGAGCCCAGGAGTTCCAGACTAGCCTGGGCAACATAGTGAGGCCCTGTCTCTACAAAAAAATAAAATAATTGGCCTGGTATAGGTAGTAAGACAGTAAACAAACGGGAAAGTCCAGCTATTTTTAATTTCCAACCAAATTGTGGAATCAATTTAAAAAAATGAGTCTATAGTGCCTTTCAAATGCGTGAATTTTGACATTTGTATATCAGCTGATGGATTAATATTTTGAATTGATATATGATGACTCTGCATGGGCATGGTGGCCAGTGCTTCAGTTTTGACAGCATTACCATCCTTGGTGATGACATGGACAGCAATGTTTCTACAGTTGTTTGAAATGGTATTTTTGATTACATGCTGCCTTTGAGGCATACACTTTTATTCATTCCAAGTATTTATCGAACCTACTGTTACAGGCATAAGGATACAGTGATGAATAAAACAGACAAGATCCCTGCAGTCCTATAGTTTACTTTCTTATGGAACAAAGACTAATAATAAGTAAAACATGAAATAATAATTTCTATGTAGAGAAGTGTAATGGGTGATGTGATAGACTGACAGTACGATTTCTTTAAATTGCATATTCAGGGAAACTCTTTACTATGAAGCTAACATTTAACTAAAGACTAAATGGGGAATTGGCAGTGCCATGATCATAAGAATAGCTTTTCCAGATAGGGAAGAGGTTGTGCTAAGTTACTAATCCAGGAATGAGTTTGGCATGTCGAAGAACAGAAAAAAGGGACAACTAAGGCTGGAGCTCAGAGAGCAAAGGAGACAATGTTATGAGATGGGTTTGGAGAGACTGGCTAGGACCTAGGTGATAAAAGGCTTTGTAAGGTGATCTGAAGCTTTTGGATTTTATATTAGTGCAATAGAAGCTTTCAGAGTATTTAAGGTAGGGAAGTATTGTTACCTGATAAATATTTGAGATTTTTAAACACAGTATTTTGCATAGGATTTATAATTTGGCACAAATAGAAGTTTAAATCAGTGCCAGTTCAGTTAAGGCTGGGCAAGTTCCTCTCTAAATAGAGATGTGTAACAAAGGAATATCAAATAGTCTGTAAGTACTTAAAACTATCTCAGCAAGGTCTAGGAGTTGGGGCGTTAGAAAGACAGAAGTAAAACCAATCTTTTCGGCGGGGGAGAAGGGGATTGGGAGGGTTAAGGTGGAAAAATAAAAAGATTTTGAAGGTCTCATCCCCTTAGGGATATAATAGAATTTGCTTGAGGAAATCATTTGAATCTTGGTAAGTGTAATAAGCGTTGAGAGGGAAGGTATCTATATTCATTTGTTAAACTCAATAAGGAAGGGAAAGAGTATGTTGTGCAAACTATTGTATAAAAATAGGAGAAAAGAGGAAACAAAATGAAATAATAAACATAAATAGAAATATAAAAAGTAATAGAGTAAGATGAAAAGAAAACAAGTCCTATCAGCAGTTATAATGACTGTATTAGAGTATATTTAGTAAAAGACATGTTGATTTGATTAAACCCAGCTATACTACATTGTTTACAAGCATCATACCAAAATAATAATGTGGAAGTAACTTTAGAGCCACAAGAGATGCAAAAAAAAAGAAAGCATGAGTGGAATTTTAGTAACAAGGGAGATGGAGTTAAGGATTAAAAGCAGTAGACAGGATAAAGGAGCACATTTTGTAATAGGCACAGTTTATAGGAACATAACAAGTAAATGCAAAGCCTCCCCTAAAATAGTTAAAATTCAAGAAATTCAACATGGTGAAACCCGGCCTCTACTGAAAAGACAAAAATTAGCCAGGTATGGTGGCATGCGCCTGTAATCCCAGCTCCTTGGGAGGTTGAGGCACAAGAATTGCTTGAACCTGTGAGCCAAGATAGCGCCCCTGCACTCCCGCCTGGGTGACAGAGCAAGGCTCCATCTCAAAAAATGAAAACAATGAATACAATTGTGGGAGATTTTAATATATCTTGAAAATTAAACTGGTTTATCAGTTAAATAAGAATAATGGATTTTAACTTAAAATAAATAAGAGGATTCATTTTCATAGAAATGTATATATTTGGCCATCTTTTTTAATAATGGAAAGATTAATAAAAAGAGCTATCATTAAAGCAAGGCAAACAACAATAACAAAAAGAGAAATGGTGTCCAGATCCTGGTTTCTAAGAACCAGTCTCCACTAAAAGGAATGTGGAGAAATGGCTGATTCTGGGGTTGTGATAGGTCAGACACAGAATGAGTGTGGTATCAGAAACCTAGAAAATGTTCAACAAATTAAGAGTGCCCACTTCAAAAGCACCTGTACTAAAATTGGAACAATAGAGAGATGATTAGCCTGGATGACACATGAATTAGTAAAGCATTTCATATTCTTGTAAATTGTGTATGTATATTTTATCACAGTAAAAAAGAAAAAAAAAAAAACACCAAAAGGATGTAGTTATATCAGAGGGAGACAGGAGCCAACTGAAAGAGCTCCCAAATAGCCAAACTGATAACAGTTGGATTATAACTTAGACCAAGGGACACTCTATGAAATACCTGATGAGTTCTCTTCTAAATACTGAAAAACACAGAAAGGAGATGAAGGAGACATGATGACTTCATGCGTTGTATCCTAGATTGGATCCTGGAACAAAAATGGGGTATTATAAATAGCTGGTAAATTTCTTTCTTTCTTTCTTTCTTTTTCTTTGAGACAGTCTGGCTCTGTCGCCCAGGCTAGAGGGCAGTGGTGCAATCTTGGCTCACGGCAACCTCCGCCTCCCAGGTTCAAGCAATTCTTGTGCCTCAGCCTCCTGAGTAGCTGCGATTACAGGCACGCACCACCATGCCTGGCTGATTTTTGTATTTTTAGTAGAAACGGTGTTTTGCCGTGTTGGCCAGTCTGGCCTCAAACTCATAGCCTCAAGTGATCTGCCGGATTTTTGTATTTTTAGTAGAAACAGTGTTTCACCATGTTGGCCAGTCTGGCTGCGAATTCCTGGCTTCAAGTGATCTGCCGGCCTTGCCCTCCCAAAGTGTTAGAATTACAGGCGTGAGCCACATTGCCCAGCCAGTAAATTTCCAAGGCTAGAGTTTAGTTCATAATAGTGTACCAGTGTTGGTTTCTTTTTTGACATATGTGATGGAAATATTAAGGTGTTAACATTAGGGTAAGAGATATAAGGGTATTCTGAATTGTCTTCGTAACTTTTCTGCAAATCTAATATTATTTCAAACTTAGTTTACTACAATAAATAGACTTTCACAACTGAGGCTGTTCGAACTTTTAATGAACAGAGCATTCTGATGTTATTTAAACAATTCAGGACAGAGAAATAAAATGCTCTTTAGTTTATTTTAAACGGCTTGTAAAAATCTTGGGTTTATGAAATGGGACCTCTGAAGCTACACAGACACAAACCCTAAGAAGCAAAAATTCTACCCCACCTACACAGGAAGACAGCAGATGACAGTAGAGCTTCTCTGCCTCTGGTTGGTTAGGAGTAGAAAAGAAATAGCCACTGAGATTAAATCCTAGCCTTGATTTTCAACAAGTTTGGAGTTTGAAATTTATACCTGCAAGAGTAATGGAATCCTCAAATTGAGAAATGAATGTAAATGCCGGCTGGGTGCGGTGGCTCATGCCTGTAATCTCAGCACTTTGGGAGGCTGAGGCAGGCAGATCACTTGAGGCCAGGAGTTTGAGGCCAGCCTGGCTGACATGGTGAAACACCGTCTCTACTAAAAATACAAAAATTAGCCCCGCATGGTGGCACACACGTGTAATCCCAGCTACTCAGGAGACTGAGGCACGGGAATCGCTTGAACCCAAGAGGCAGAGGTTGCAATGAGCCAAGATTGTGCCGTTGTACTCCAGCCTGGCGACAGAGCCAGACTCTGTCTCAAAATTTAAAAAAAAGAAAATGTAAATTTTCATTTTAGATCATCTAGCAAAAAGTTTTTAAAACTGAATTTTGGAGAAAATAATATAGGGCTAGGTAGTTAATTTTATCAAACACATTTTTATCTTGAAATTTTTATATTCTTGTATTTAAGATACTGTTTCTTCAATTTATTGTAATTTTTAAAAAACAGAACTATAATTTGCCCTGCTTTTATAGGAAAAAATATAGCAAATATTGAAAACAGTGGCCTTAAATTCTGGAAATACAGGGAAGTATACATATTAGTTTAATGTGACAATACTTGGTAAGATTGTGGCTATCATATGATGTATTCAGCATGTTGTCCCTCATTCACAGTGGATGGTTCAGTACACAGGTTCAAATTGCAAGAGCACTTAGTTTCATCAATCTCTATACATGCATGTATGATTTACTGTCTCATGATTTATGTCAATTGTTTTTACTAAATCTGGGTAAACCTGGATTTGGAAATAAGACTATATTGTGTTCTCTTTAGTGTGCGAGTGTATGGAATTTGAAAATATGCATTTTATTTTAATCCCAAGTTAGGAACTAAAAACCTACCTTTTTTCTTATAAGACTGTTACTACTACATCTCAGGCAAATTCTCATTTTCATAATGCATATCTTCACAAATTTCAAATTTTTCAGAGTGGAAATTGCCCAGTTGTACCCGATGTTGCTCTGCTTGATATTGGTGCAATTTGCTGGGATTCAGATTCTGGCATTGCTACTTAATTGTGTGACTGTGGATAAGTTGATTAACCTCATTGCATTTCAGTTTTTTCATTTATAAAGTATTAATAATATGTCATATAAGGTTATTGGGGGGATTAAAGAAATTAATAGATACAAAGCACACATGGCACATGATGCTATTTTCTAACTGCTATTATAAGTACACTACTATCAGCTGGGTGTGGTGGCTCACGCCTGTAATCCCAGCACTTTGGGAGGCCGAGGCAGGCGGATCACGAAGTCAGGAGATCGAGACCATCCTGGCTAACACGGTGAAACCCCGTCTCTACTAAAAATACAAAAAATTAGCCAGGCGTGGTGGCGGGCGCCTGTAGTCCCAGCTACTTGGGAGGCTGAGGCAGGAGAATGGCGTGAACCTGGGAGGCGGAGCTTGCAGTGAGCCGAGATCGCGTCACTGCACTCCAACCTGGGGGGCAAAGGGGAATTTTTTTTTAAAAAAAAAAAAAAAGTAAGTACACTACTGTCTCTGCCCATAGTATTTTTTCTTTTGTTATTTTCATATTTTGTTTTCACTTCAAGTGCTTTGACTTTTTGTAATATAAGAATATTAAATTCTTGCAAGAAAATTTCTTTGAAATTTTTGTTTGAGTAAAATGATTTTAATGAAATGAAAGCTATGATTTACATTACTGGATCACCAGTGTGAATAGAATTACAAAAAAATAGCCTCTTTTATTTTTATGTGGTTTATTTAGAGTAGGAAAGTAGCTCTTGTAACTCCCTGGTCTATTGCACTTTTTGCAGTTCCCCTTTTCTAATGCTTTTATCCTACAATTAGCCATAAGGTTTTTGCTTTTTTCTCCCGAAATTTTGCTTTTTTCCCCCAAAATCAGTGTTTATTCGTGTTCAAATAGATGCAGTATTTGGATGTAGTATTTAGATACGGTATTTAGGTACTAAGGATTATGTTTAAAATCCATGATATTGTATGTATTTGAAGTTTAACAGTGGAATTTAATACTTTAAAACAAATGTACTTATAGCCCTGACATAATGTAATCATACTACAAGACTAAATGCTTGTTCCATGATTGCTGGTCTTGTACATAATGTTTTTTGTTCTGATTTTGGAATTGTCCTCAAGACAATCTCGTTCAACGTTTATTCCTTTATTTATTTGTTTTTAAACAACTAAAAAAAGTTTACAGTAAAATTTTACAAATTGAGTTTCATTTATTGGTATAGTTTTGTTATTTTATAGTATCACTCTTTATATGGCAAAGAAGCTATGATTTGCTTTTAATAAGCTTATTGTAAGTATGCCATTAACTTTTTCATTTTGAAAACTGTATTTCCTATTAGAATAAAACTATATAAATTTCTTTTTTAGGAAAGAATACCCACCTCATGTCCAAAAAGTTGAAATTAATCCTGTAAGGTTAAGTCGGCTCCAAGGTGTTGGTAAGTGTGCAGTTTTGTTACACCTGTGAAGGATTTCAAATTGCTGTATGAAAAGTACAATGGGGATATGATGCTGGCTTTAGAATATTCCCAGGTATAATAGATATATATGAAAAACCATTTTTTGTAATGGATTTGAGAATTTCTTTAATGGTAACCTGATACCTGGAACAGTTGCACAGTTAGGTGATTACAGTTTGAAATCTTTTGATTATTTTAGCATTTTTGTTATGTTACAAATGCAAATAGTAACTGTAGTTGAGCTATAGCTTTGAAATTGAGTTTTATTAAACTGTGTTACAATGTTGTATTATGTAATTGTGTTTCCACTTACTGGTTTTGCTCCTAAAATTTAGAATACATTAGAGAAACACTCAATTAAAAAGAGACCACACCTGATACAACTGTGTTACTAGTAGATACTGGAAAATCATTGTGAGTATAAATTTATATTCATATTGAAATATTTTTCAATATACTGGTTATTAATCCAAAAATTAAAATAAGGGCAAGTAACATTTATAAAAAATATATCATCATAAAATCAGTTTTCATTATCTAGAATCATGGTTCTTAATAATGTGTGTCCGTCTTGTTTTTCCAAGGCCTTTGCTTGTTTAAATAGCTCTGATGGCTCTTAGTTCTAAAATAGAGTAATTTTTAAAAGCTAGATTTTTCTGATAGCTAAGAATGTGCTTTTAAAAAACACCCACAGTTTTTTTTTTCTACTTTGGGTGAAAATCTTTTGTGCATGTAGTGAACGTTTCTCTATTTTATGAAGAGAATATTCCAAACTTATTTCATCCTTTCTTAATAATGGGCAGTCTTTATAGATGTGAATTATTATACTTTACATACTAAGCATAGTTATGCTAAGTTTATTAAGTTTAGTAATAGTGACTACTCTCTTCTGTTATTCTGTTATACTTTAAATCTTTATTGAGCTCTTACTCAGTTATATGCTGAGTCCAGTGCTTTGCTTTCATTATTTATTTTTATCCTAGCTTTCTGTTCAAGGTTCCTATAAGCTAAAAAACTTTCTCAAGGACATAGAGCTAGTAAATGACAAAGCTTGTATTGGAACCCGTGTCTGTTTAATGCCACATCCCACACTCTTAAACACTGTACATTACTGTATTCTTGCTCTGTCACAAAGAAGGTTACTTTTAATCCTCAGAACCGTACAAAAGGTGTTATTTTTATTTTAACAAATGCATTTCTGGCCAGGTACAGTGGCTCATGCCTGTAATCCCAGCACTTTAAGATGTCAAGGCAGGCAATCACCTGAGGTCAGGAGTTCGAGACCAGCCTGGCCAATATGGCAAAACCCCATCTCTACTGGAAAAAAAAAAATATACAAATATTAGCTGGGCATGGTGGCACATATCTGTAATCCCAGCTACTCAGAAGGCCGAGACACAAGAATCGCTTGAACCCAGGAGGCAGAAGTTGCAGTGAGCCGAGATCTCACCACTGCCCTCCAGCCCGGGTGACAGAGTGAGACTCAGTCTCAAAAGTAAAAAAAAAAAAGCATTTCAAAGACGTTAAGTGATTTGGCCCACTGATAATGGTTTTAGATGCCAGTCAGCCAGGCTTGTTACAAATAATTTTTAAAGCTTATTCAACAACATTCATTAAGTAAATAAGCATACTCAAGTTAAAAGAAAAAAGAGCATGCTTATTTACTGTTCTTTTAACTTGGGTTTTTTGTTTGTTTGTTGTTGTTGTTGTTGTTGTTGTTTTGAGACGGAGTCTCACTTTGTAGCCCAGGCTGGAGGGCAGTGGTGTGATCTCAGCTCACTGCAGCCTCCGCTTCCTGGGTTCAAGTAATTCTCTGCCTCAGCCTCCCAAGTAGCTGGGATTACAGGCGCCCGCCACCACGCCCAGCTAATTTTTGTGTTTTTAATAGAGACAAAGTTTCACCATGTTGGCCAGGCTGGTCTCGAGCTCCTGACCTCGTGATCCTACCACCTCGGCCTCCCAAAGTGCTGAAATTACATGCGTCAGTCACCGTGCCTGGCCCTTAACCTGTTACTTTGAAATAATTTTAGGCTTAGAGAAAATTTACAAAATTAATACAGAGACATACATGTTTATTTTTTCACACAGCTTCCCTTAATGTTAGTATTTTATAATTCTAGTACACTTATCAAAACTAAGAAATTGGTGTGAGTATAAGATTCTTAATTAAGCTGTAGAACTTATTTAGATTTCACCAGCTTTTCACTAATACCCTTTTTCTGTTCCAGGATTCATTCTGTCATCCCACATGGCATTTGTCATGTTCTCTTAGTTTCCTTCATGATTCTGAAGACTAGTCAGTTGCTCTGTATAATGCCTTTCAATTTGGTGAGGATGATGTCTTAGGATTAGAGTAAGCCTATGTATTTGGGGCAAGACTTCCCAAGAAGTGATGTGTGGCCTTCTCAGTGCATCATTTTAGGGGTTCCGTGATGTTGAGTATGTCTTAGGATTGGTAGTGTTAACCATGATCATTTGGTTAAGATACTCTCTGCTGGGTTTTTTCACTGTAAAATTACTATTTTCCCTTGGTACTTAATAAAGATTTTAGAAGAGATATACTCTGAAACTGTGCAGATATCCTGTTTTTCTTCAAACTTTCACCCACTGATTTTAGCATCCATTGGTGGATCTTGCTGGCATCAATTACTGCTTAATGTTTGTCTAATGGTGATTTTCTGTTTTCTTCATTTCTTTTACATTTATTGATTGAAAATCTTCTGTAGGGAAGATCTGTACTTTCCTGATATATTTGTTGATAATTAATTATTTATACCTGTGGACTCATTGTTAATAAATGAGGGTTTTATGAGTAATACTTGTAAACCTTAGGAGAGGAATATTGATATATTTAACTTGTAAACTTTGTTTTCAGCTTCTTTTGTGTTAGGTAGGTACATGTATGCTTGGGTATAGGATAATTAGCAATGCTATAATAATATTGTATGTATTGTTATATGAGGATTGCATTTTATTTCATGATTTCCTTTGGAGATAATTTTTAAAACATTGAGATTTCAAACCGCAGGATCACTAATTACTTGCATAACACCAAGCATAATTTTTTCCTAAACAATATCATGGTCTTTCTAGTTAACACTCAACATGATTTTCTTTATTGTTCTTTTTGCCTTGTTTATTTTGAATTTGAGGCACTTAGTATGATTTTTTTTTTATAAGTTATAGCCACATATCAGTACTTACCAGCATTGATAAGCAGTTCTTTACTATAAAATTAAAGTTTGTAAACCATTAAGTATAATTTTTGGTCAGACCACATGTCCTGTTGCTTTTTTGTTTAGTTGCTTTAAAATTATTTTCTAAACATATAGAATAACAACTGTTAAGATCTCATTTTTCTCCCCACTTACTCTGTCATTTGTTTCTTAAACTCTCTTTTTTTTAGTCTGTTTTTTGTATCCTTGTTAGAGAGAACAGACATATACTGTCTCTGAATGTACTTTTAATTATATTCTTCATGTAATTACATTGTGTAATTACAATTCAATCACCTAGTTAACACTACTTAACACACGTTAACTTTTGCTTTTTGTTCATTTTTAAGACAGAGTCTTGCTCTGTCTCCCAGGCTGGAGTGCAGTGACATGATTATGGCTCACTGCAGCCTCAACCTCCTAGGCTTACATGATTCTCCCACCTCCACCACCAAGTAGCTGGGACTGCAGGCACATGCTGCCACATCCAGCTAATTTTTTGTATTTTTTGTAGAGATGAGGTTTCACAGTGTTGCCTAGTCTGCTGTCAGACTTCTGGGATCAAGCGATCTGCTCGCTTCAGCCTCCCAAAGTGCTGGGATTGCAGGTTTGGACCACTGCTCTGGCCACATGTTTACTTTCAACCAGTCAGGGTAACTGTTGTTAACATTTTAATATATAACTTTCCAGACCTTCTCTATGCACATATACTCGTTTTTAAAATTGATATACAGTATTCATACTGTGTGTACTGTTCTGTATGTAACTTGCTTGTTGACTTTATGATACCTAGTTTTTACACTTATTAAAAGATGACAGACATGGAACCAGCATGGAAAACACAATTAAAGGAAGTTTAAGAATGAAATGCACCAGCCATGGTGGCTTACACCTTTAATCCCAGCGTTTGGGGAGGCCAAAGCAGGAGGATCGCTTGAGCCCAGGAGTTTGAGACCAGCCTGGGCAACGTGATGAAACCCCAACTCTCCAAAAAAATACAAAAATTAGCCGGGTATAGTGGCGCATACCTGTAGTCCCAGCTGCTTGGGAGGCTGAGGCAGGAGGATCCCTTGAGCCTAGGTGATCCAGACCAGCAGGCACAACATCATGAAACCCCAACTCTCCAAAAAAATACAAAAATTAGCCGGGTATAGTGGCGCATACCTGTAGTCCCAGCTGCTTGGGAGGCTGAGGCAGGAGGATCACCTGAGCCTAAGAGGTCGAGATTGCAGTGAGCCACAGTCGTGCCACTGTATTCCAACCTGAGCAACAGAGTGAGACCATATCTCAGAAAAATGAAAAGAATCAAATGGTTCTTAAATTTATGGAGGACTTCCTTACAAATTTTTTTTGACCTCGTGATCCGACCCCCTCAGCCTCCCAAAGTGCTGGGATTTCAGGCGTGAGCCACCATGCCCAGCTACAAATTTTTATATCCAAGTTTCTATATCTTTTTTTAAATAAATGTGTTGTGGCCCACTGTATTTATGTGGCATAATTTTGTTTTCAATGTTTTGACATTTAAAATATTATTACTATACTGGTACATTCATGTTATATGTTTGATATATTTCTTTAGGTCAAATCTGTAGAAATAAAATTTCAGGGACAAATGATACACACATTTTTAAGACTTGATATGTTAATGCCAAAATGCCTTGTGTGGCTGGGCACAGTGGTTCACGCCTGTAATCCTAGCACTTTGGGAGGCCAAGGCAGGCAGATCACTTGAGGTCAGGAGTTTGAAACTAGTCTGGCCAACAT